AATTTCTAATATTACTTAAAATCTTTATGCTTTCTTTTTGCTCCTTTGACTCCAAAGCAGAATAAATGACACTTCCTTGCATAAGACTGATAGGAATTCAGACGTAAAAGATTACATAAAATCTAAGAATGTCTTGAGCACCTATTTAATAAATGGGAGAAATATCTAGCTAAGACACATGTTTCACAAACATACCCTTCTGTGAACATGGCATGTTTATATGTTTGTTCTCTTATTATTGTTATTTTATATATATTATATAATATATAAAATATAAATATATTATTTATATTATATATTTTACTTTGATGATTGTGCAAAGAATTTAGCAGAAAAGAAAGTTTTCTTCCATCTTGATGGAAATAACATTTAACTTACTAATTCTAAAAATAAGCAGTAAACAACAGGTAGCTATTAGGTCATACAATCAAAGAAAATGGTGCTTTGGGCAGCAAAATATACCAAAACCCCTGCATGTGGCATAGATAAATTGTGTCATTGATGAGTTCTCTTCCATGTTCTACAGTTCTCCATATCCTTTCCCTCTCCCACAGGGAAGCTGTGGAAACTCATGAAATTTCTGAATTTATTCACATTATTCATGGCTGGAACTTCRGGAAGAGAGAATGTCAGGGCATTTAGCCTCTAATAACAATATGATAGARCTGAGACACAGTCACTAACCCAGTTATGGATTGGTTCCAGTTGTTTTGATAGTCCATCAGATCTCAGCGTCTCACAGGGAGAAACGTTCCCTTTGCTCTTTGGAAATGTGCCCAAACCATGCAGCTCTTTAACAGGCACTGCTGGCAAATGTCAAATCCATGCATTCTGCTGGCGTGCCTGGGAGAACAGGAGCTGTCAATTTMTTTCAATATCATTTACATTCTGAGAAAGCAGGGAGCTGGGAAACATTGGAATTCTTGATATTTGCATGCTGCTTTGCAGCATTCATCTGACCTAGGAATATATTGGCATTTTACCTCAGATAGTTGAGAGTGCTTTTGAAAACCAGGATGGTCCAAACCCATTAATCACTCCTGTTCTTTTCTGTGCTTGTGGCATTCTCCCATTGTGATGGTCCCTGACAGCTGAAGCATCTGTTATTCAGGAATTAAGTGCTAACGTCACTGCTGCTGCTAGGAAAAAAATGTGTGTGCTTTCCCAGCTATATCTCTTACATATAGTGTGAAATTATGTGTCAGCCACTATTCATTGTTGTATTATATCGGTTGCTGTGGAAGCCTGAGCTCCTGCTCCAAAGGATAAGGGCTCTTCAGTGTTGGGGAACTGCATATTTATGAATAGTAAGGGCAGAGCTGGCATGGGTCATCTTTTTCTCTGCCTTGCAGCTCCATCATCTCTGGATCTGTTCTGGGATTTTTTTAGGGGAGGGAGGAGGGCAGGTCTTTATTGATATTTAAATTGCAACTTCCCTGTGTCTAACTTGTTCTTTATTCTGAAAGATCTGTAAAATGCCACATTCTCAGCTCAAGTTTTTTTTTGTCACTAACCAATTCTGCAAGCAATTTGTTTTGTTTCCTAAACTGGCAGTGTGAGCTTCCCTWAWTTTTTTWTTTTTTTTARTTTATCCAAACAATATTGCTACAGGAATTTGTCAGTTAGAATCCAAATCCATTAGCATTTTTCTCATTAGAAATTTAGTGCTAATCTCCTTCTCTTAATGAATACTATTGAGAAGGGCTATTTAACTATGCCTACATTTTTAGAACATTTGGGGTACATTGATACAAAACAAATCACTTGTTTGTACTTAGGAAACATCTGAAATACGATTGAGCAGATTAAAATGGGTAAGTATAATTTTATTTGGGTTCTTTTGTCTTTCCACAAACATTAAAGAAAACAAGTTAATGAGAAAAAAAAATCACTTATTTTAAGAGAAGTCAAAAAACTCCTTATATAAACTTTCTTTTGGAGTATTGAATGGTATTTGTCATCACAGTTGGAGCTTTACTTTTGGTGATCAGGAGGCTTCAAATGTTGGTAAACACAATATATTTAATGGCTGTTCTCCTGTGTTTTCTGGAAATACACATCTGGGAATAAACTCTGGAGTAGCAGTGGCAGTGATGGTTCATGTAGATAACAAATTTTTGACTTGGTTTAGTAAGCATTATAAAACCAAATACACTGAATAATTTAACGTATTTAATGACTTCACATTTGCTGGCAATACAAGTRTCTTTCGTTCCAATAGAATAATACAGAATTTTCTATTATTTAATAGAATACAGCAGAAACTCTGCTGTAAATACAAAATAAATATGTTGTACAAGACTTCTAGTTTTGTAACATAATTTCATTAATGATGTTGTAGGTAAAGGTTAGTGGTACAAGATGATTTTACACATATAGCATGTACATGTCTTTGCAATCTCTCTGCCATATTTGTATGCAAGTGTGGGTGCTTTTCTGTCTGGTGTCCTCTCTCAGTGCCTGAAAGCCTAAATACTTAGTTCCCAGCACCTTTGCTTTTCTGCARTGTGTCCCTGTGTGTGGACTGGCATCATTTGAATCTCAGATGAATTTTTTAGGTACAGACTCATTCTTGAATTTTATTTCAAGTAGCATTTCTGGGGAAATGAGATATTAAAATATTTACTGATGATAAGTGATGGGTGGCCAATAAGTGAGTTGATTTATTATCACAAAATGCCTGAGGTTGGAAACTCCTAGAGATCATCTCGGCCCCTCTTCAAAGAATCATCTCTATTGTCTAGTTGATTTTTAAAAATATCTTCAAGGGTGAGACTCTATAACCTACTCTGGGCAGACTTGTCCAGGGTTTAGCTACTCTCATGCTTTTGTTGTTTTTTTTTTTCTCTTATGATGAGGTAGAATTTCCTGTATTTCAATTTGTACCCTTTGCCTATTGTGGTCTCACTGGCATCACTGGGAAGAGTTTCCCTCTTATTTACTCCCTCCCATSAGATATTTGTGCACACAGACAAGATCCCCCAAGCCTTTCTTCCTTCTGGCTGAAAATTCAGACCTTTGTCTTTCCTCATGCAGAAGGTTCCTCAGTCCCTTCTTCATCATTCAGTCCTGATCTCCACCATCTCATGATCACTGCAGTGGAAGTCAAATCCTTATCATCAATATGAGCTGCAGAATCAGTTGTTAACTTGCAGGATCCATCCACTCACCCTCAATATTTGCATTGTGTTTGCTGTTGGCTGGGTGTATTCATGTCTCGTCCTGTGTTAGCACAGGAGCCAACGAGGCACACCCTTGGAACAGGGAGGAGCTTTGCTTGCTGCAGCACCASGAGCTCTGAGGGGTTTATTTGTGCACAAATGTGCTGTTGTGTGGCTGTTCTTWGTATTCTACATTGTGCAGTTATTACCTTTTGTAGTTATTGATCCTGCATGTCTTRAAATGGTTTGGTAAAGGTAGAACAAACAAGTCCTGACACCTGTTTGAGCGTGTACAAATCTGTATTTTGTGCATTCAGATAGGTGTAGATTTATCTGTCACAGCCATCTGTCCTACTGATGCCCTGCTGCTGAGATTTTTCTTTTCTGAATAAAAGCAGAAGGAATTAAGTTTGCTAAAAGAAATCATGTGCTGTAAGGTGCAAGTGGCCAGAGCCCTTGCTTTGCCCCCAGCCAAGTTCCAGTAGGATTCACTTTTCCTAAGAGCAAACCAAAGAATTGCAGAGCTGGGTTATTTATTTAAATGACTGTTGATTATTAAATTGGAATCCCAATGGGAATATTTACAGGTGAGAAAGATGGCTATGGATTTTGTTAGAACCTTTCCCTATTTATTAAAGTTGCCTTGAAAGTGATATCTAAGAATGTTGTGTTTGGAGAGAGAAGCATGAAAGAGGAAAGAAAACTACTTTCTGGCACTTTAAAAACATTTCTGCTTTCCTTGATTATGTTATTTCACAAAAACAGCAGTAAAATCAAAATTAATTATATATTATAAATATAAATTATAAGTCATTATGAAAGTTCTTGTGATAGCTTTTGATATTAATCTAAATTTACAATAAATATCTTTCAATATGTTGTTAAAAAATAGAAAATATGTTCATTTATTCTGTACAAGGTCTATTTTCAATATGCATAATTATCAATATATTAAAGCAAGATGGRTATCAACATGCTGTTTGAATTATTAAAATACATTTTTCTTTTCACTTTTGACAGTTTAGTCAAAACAATTAATTAATATTAATGTTAGTTAATAAGTAAAGGTGGACTACAAACCCAGCTAGTTATTAACATAGGACTAAGCTCAGTTTAATTACCTGTCATTTGCAATGAGCTAAGAMCATAAATACAGATGGCTCCCAGGGTTGCACTGATGGCAATAATWTGCTTGTTGACTTCTCTCTGAGAGGCTGAGGTGAAGTACAAAAAGAGGGTTAAAGGTGGATTGCTGCACATCAATAAAGCTGCTCTAGGTAGTGCAGACACTCTAGTGAACATTGGATCATGGGCATCCATTTCTATTATATTCCAGCAACTGCAGTCAATATCTTATTGTTTTTAAATTGAATCTATTTATTTTTAAGTATTTATTTTGAYATTTCTGTAAAGTCTTGTAGAATAAATGCTACCTCAAAATAGTAGTTGCTTTTCAAGAAAACTTGCCTTGTCAAAAGTTATAGGACATATTGTTTAGAAAATTAGCAGTCATCTTTAGGAGACTTATAAATRTCAGTTATTATTTTAGTAGTTTTTATTTTTCTTTTTAGAAATACAGAGTTAATTTATCTCATGAAATCTCTGCTAACTCTTTTAAACTGATGCTATACCCGTGCTCACAGGAAAACTATTTCCACTAAGAAGTGGAAATACTACACTAAACTTCAACATTTTGATGGGTGCAGTCCCACCTTTGTAATCTATTGAACCACTAAAGAATGAAGGAGTTCTGGCATCGTCATTCTGTCTGTTCTTCTTGTGCTGAAATATCTTGATTACCATTGCTAAATTGTAACTTTTGYATTTTGTTTCCAACAGGTTCTCATTTCAGGTTGCTGCAACAGCAGACAATTGTCTTCTTACCTTATACCCCTACTTGGCAATACACTACTCTGATCAAAAAATCATCTGGAAAAGCAGTAAGCAATCAACACTCTACCTCTGAAATTATATTATGTCTATTRGTATTATCACTGCTTTCAGGGTGATAACAGGAATGCAAGATCATCAAGATAGAATTTTTCCTTATTAATTGCAGGGGGATTTGCTGCAATTAAACTTTTGAAAACCATTTAATAGCTTCAGTTTCAATGTTGAAAATGAGGAAAAGTTATATAAATGATTAGGCAATGTTTATTGAAAAATATTGACCAAGCTGAAATCTTACGGAATGTTTTGTGGAGCATTTAAATTATGAGTAAACAGCCAAAACATTAGAGAACAAATTAACTTAATTTGTCTTGCATTGATTGGCAGTGATCACATGTTTTGAAGAAAGCAAAAGAGAAGAAATCAACATGATGGTCTTGAAAATGTGATCATTATTTGCCTGTTGGGAATAGTTTTCACATTTTTTWAACTCCTATCCTTGGAGGGAGAAGGGCACAGCTATTTTTTAAGGCCTTATAAAAACCTGTGGTCAGAGAGTAGAAAAAATTTTATCTGCAGTATATCTCCCTGTCCGCCTCCCTCTGCTTCTGCCTCCATTTTTCTGCCCATCCTGAACCTGTCTCTGCTGCCTCTGTGATCTGTTATCTCATGGGTTGCTGTGCTTCTGGGGAGAGATTGGGATCATTGTATAATTCAGATTGAAAGGGATCACTTGGGGCCATCTAGTCCAACTTCCTTCTTAAAGCAGGTTCAGTATGGAGCAAATTATTATGGTTTTATAGCTGTATATGGGATCTGAAGTATTTTGATGAAATAGAGAAGTTTTTCAGGTAAGCAAGTCAGTCTTTAGAAATGAGACAGGTTTAGCATCGAAGGCTGAATTCTAAGACTGCATTAACTTAAAATAAGTGTGTTACTCAAAGTATTTGAAAGAAAAGAGAATTGGTACTTGGGAAATTGAGAAAGGGRTTAGCAAGAAGACATGTAATGTTTTGGTTTTTTTCACCCAAATAAAATATAGATATAGGTACCACATGAATCAGGGATCATAGGACAATTAAATGAAGGAGAAAAAAGTATAATCTCTTATTAATGTGTAATTTTATTTTTTTCTTTTATTTATTTTTTTTTCCATGACCAATAGACCATTTTTGCAAGCTTGTTTTTTAAAGATTCTTTTGTCGGTCTCCCTTGAGGATTAAGCCAAAAATGGAGTGATGGTTTTATAGAAATGATCTCACATTAATAATTGGATATTTCTGTCCTGCAGTAATTGCTTATTGGTTTGTTCGCACATGAGTTTGTGTGAGTTTTGAAGCAAGTCATTACTGCTCTAAAACTCCTTGAATGTTTTTATGTGATATTGTGTAGTGTGTTGGTGTGGAATGTTGTTTAATGTGACCAAACCATGTCTATACAACACAGTGTTTTTAAAAAATACCCGGGATGGCTTTGCTTCCCCTCTGACRCCATGCTCTTGTTCTGCTTGCTGCAGATGATACAAAGAGCAGTGCCAGCAATCAAAAGTTAAAAGATAATCATACAAGAGTTTGCTTCTCTGGAAACTACTCTTGGTGCCTCTTTTGTTCTGCACTGAACCCAGAGGGTTCTCAAATCCTATTTTAGGCCAACATGAGACTGTTGGGACATCCGTAATTTCAGAGCTCATGGATTGATAAAGTTTATTTCTGAGTTTTGTTTGTAAAATATGTGTTGTTGAGCCTGAAAGAGCTTGATAATGTCCTGAGACTCATTACACAGCTGTGATCAAGATGTCCTTAAGAATGTATTGTTCATGACACAGAAATCCTCAATTAGCATTGTTCTGATAGGTGCTTTTCAGCAAGTTGGAAGACTCATCCTGTAAAACATAGTTCTTGGGGAAAAAAAAAGCTTGATTTTTTTTTTCTGGACCTCAGTCTAACGACCAAAATGAGATTTTCATGGGTCAAACAAGAATTGTTACTTGATTAATTGAAGGCTGAAGTAGAAGAACATAGAGGCAGATRTTCATATATTATTTTTTAGAGCACAGACAGTAAAATATGTTTTCTCAACTGCTACTTGAATCTTGTTTTACAGAAAATAAAGACTTCAGCGCTGGAGAAGTTRTTCTAGATATATGTGGTACACCACAATCTTCTTCATATAGTAGTTCCTCAAGTTCTTTTGGTGAACCTACTGACTCAACTTTTGACTATTCTCTATCGGGTATAGTGCAGCACATAAAATCAATGCTCTTATAAAGAATGAGCCTCTTTTCTTCACATTGAATTTTTTTTTTCTTCTTAAATCCTGTTAAGATTTTTTTTTTGTTCACAAAGGGATCAATTAAATTTATTTTGGCATCATTTAATGAAACATTAAAACTGCAACAGTGGTATTAAAATACACCTTTGMGGATGGGGGGTCACCTAAATTATTTGTGCTGTTAGAAAATTTTKGTTTGTTTTCTTAGATACCTTTTTKTGCAATGATATTGTTGTTGAWGTTAACAACTAAGRGTTAAAATGTGTGAGTTATGAACAGGTCTGAATTTAGGAGAGAGAAAGCCTAACAGAGGGGAAAAAGTCCAAAGGCTTATAGATGTAGAAGGGGTTGTACCTGTACAATAACTTTTACAATGAACTAGCAATGACTAGCAGGAAAAGCTGTGTCTGTTGGAAATGTCTGTGAAACTGATCCTTTTGAAATTGCTGTCTGTGGTTTTGGAAGCCATGCCTGAATTTATTTTTTGCTGATCAGGTAATACTTTTTTTCTGAAATTGCAATTAGATTTCAATGTATCAAATGGGTTCTACTCCCAAGACTTGTGCATGTAATTTAAATAGTTTTTTTCCTAAATTAAGTCGATCATTTGTTTTCTGACAGTTTCTWGTTCTTTGAAAACAATTGAGTGTTAAATATTTTTGTACTCAACAAAAAYGGGGAAATAAGAAATCTTTCTGGATTTTTTTTAATGTGTATCATTCAGAGGCCAGCACTTTTGAGAGTGATGAATTTATAAGTGAAGAGAGTGAAGAAATGAGTGAAGAGACTGAATCTGAAAGTCGAAGCCTTGTGAACAGAAATAAATGCAAAGTATCATTTTTTCCTGATGAAGCAAAGGCGGAGTACGTCTTCTTTCAGAAGATCCTAACTGCTGTGAAGAATTGGTTCACACTCTTTGGCTGGACKAAGGGACACAATCCCATTTCAATACCTTATTCACTGAGACGGTAATTCATGTCTGCTCACAGCTAACTCCTGTCTGTCTCATAACATGCTAACAGATCTACTCGAGTGGTTTGGGAATGATCTAAGGACTATAACACACTCYAATGCATAGATTTCTATTAAAATTATAGCTTCTACCTGATGCTTATATGATAATTTCATCCAGGTGTTAGTTCTTACTTTTAAAATATATTTTTAACTATGATACCCTCACTTATCATAATGCAGTTTATGTTAAATTTGCAGTTCAAATTATACATTACTTTCTTAAATGGAATTGACTYTTCTCCCAGAGAGAATACAGTTCTAGATGTTGCCCCTTTGGTGGCATAAGCAAGTGCTTTAAAAATATGCCTTTTTTCTCTACATAATCTAAAGATTGTGAAACAGATGAGAAAGCATATTTTATAAGCAACAGTCTTACAAACTGTAAATACATCAATCTTAGTGGCATCTCTTAGTTGATCTTATCTAACTTGGTATTAAATAGTGAAGAAGCTACTTTTCTGGGACACAATCACATAGGCATTTATAAACCTGATAAAAATCTAAGTTTGGCAGAAAACTTTGACAAACACAAATTTATTCATGAATGATTAAATATCCCATGCAGTTCACAATTCTTAGTTATGAAAGTTCTGTAAAGATGAAAAAGTGCTGTATTTTTCAGCCTTCCTTGCTGCTGTTTTTAACCCATGTTTTGTTAAATTAGCACTGTGATACACAGAATTGTAGCTCATTTTGTGCATTTGGAAGAATCATATCAAAGGCTTTTTCTCTCTTAGTGATGTGTGCATAGTCCAGCTATCAGTTTCACAAGAAAGGAATTTTAAACGAAATCTTGACAAAGATAAGGGTTTTTATGAGATGTTACACCATCTGAATGGCCAGCCAATACCAGGCATTTCAGCRAGCCAGTCACTGCCCACTGATCCAGTAGAACGAATGTTCCAGCTCCACTGGCAGCATTCTGAAATGCTTGCTTTCCTCAAGTAAGTACAAGYATGATGAAATATCCATGCATGCATCTTTTCTTTCAATTTTTAAAAATTAATATATTTCAAACATAATTCTAACTGAATGGTGTACAGTAGATTTAGGTTTTCCTTTATACTTTTTGTGGGATAAGATTTATGTATTATAACCTTTAATTTGTTTTTGCCAAGGTTTTTTGCAGTTTACACTACTCAAAGTGTCATTTTGAAGGGTTATGTCCATCACAGGAATTCCACAGGAAATCTGCTTCCTTAATTACAAAAGATGACTCGTGTCATTTCWCCTTAGACTCATTAGACAGACAGATCAAGTTTTTCATTAATGATCTCACCATTCTACTGATGCTCTTGGTGGGGTCTGATGACTCTTGTGTGCAATCTTACCCCTGAGATTTTCCAGGAATCTAGGAATATTGAAACTGACATAAATGATATTTGTTGTATACTTTAAAATTATGAGTTTTGGTTGGATCCCAACCTTTTTTGCTAAAAGTAACAGCAATTGGCAAGAAATACTTAAGTATTTATAACATCGTTTCTTGGGAATTTTTTAAAAGCTGTTTAATAGCTAAATTTTAATAAAAGCCATCAGCTTTGCTGAGCTTTGGCTGTTAAGTCATGGATGTTTTCAGAGCAGAATTGAAGCAGCAGGCAGCTGGTCAAGGCTAAGGCCAGTRCCTCTGTATGCAGGTGCATTGATGGCTGATGGTTGTTGAGGTCAGTTGATGAGACATAAAGKGGTAAACCTTAACARTTCTAGAAAAAYAACACAGGTTTTCATGGGAAAACAYTTCTAGCTGGACTCCTTTGCTTATGTGTGTTTTAATRGTCTTGGAGGTCTTTTACAATCTGAACTCTTCTACAATTAATTTGGTGCTCATTCTGTGCCTGACATTASCAGATGTTGTTAGTTTGCTACCTCTCCTAGTTTGTGTGAATTCTGTAAGATTTTTCTTCATTGTTCCTGATTTATAGAAATACTTTTCCTACTTGTGCATTTTAGGATCATTTAGAATATTTGCATTTCCTCACAGGTGTTTATAGATCATAGTACAGAAATGTTTGATATCTGCACTGCTGGAATGACAGTGTGTGATGATGGAAAGACATCTAAAGCCTCAGCTCAGATTTGAGTAATTTATCTGTGATCTGCTATCCCTGCACATTCACTGTGATTTGTGGAAAGTCAGCAGACAGTTCTTGGCTTTCTTACATCAACCACTTCTTTCTGGTCAGCATGGTTCAAATAAAGCATAATTTTTTTTTTCAGATTTTCCACTTGCCAATGCAGGTGGATATTGCTCAGTGTTTCAAGCAACTTTGCAAATATCAGTTTGATAATCTTCCACTTGAAAAGTTTCYTTGGTGCATTACCACAGCAGTTAAAGGAAAAGCTTGGGTATTTTAAAGTATGACTAAGTTGTTGCAAGCCCTGTGTCATGAGGAAAAATGTCTTAACWGCATGAAAGTATTGATCTTGGAGAACTGGCATCATGTTAAAAATTAACCTGAATGAAGAGGAAATTTTTTGTGTTCCTCAGTAGCAAAATGCAGCCAATTACAAGAACATTCAGTTATATAAAGCTTTGTTATGATGGCATGTAACCTTGTTATATACCTTTTCTTGGAATGAAAATTGTAGATTACACCTATTCCCTTGTAATTACCAAGTAAAAACATTTAAAAAGAAAGGAAAAAGATAGGACACTTGTAAAGATTAATATTGTATAGTTTTTATCTTTTTTCATTTGGAAGGAGCTGAAGTTTAAAAGAGATTACATAGAACAAAGTCTATGGATTAGTGGAAAATGGGGATTTCATACATGATGAGTTTTAGAACCAGACTGCTAACTTGATGCTATTTTTGGGTGCATTAAAAATRCACCTGATTAAAATGCTTTTATTTTAAAAAAAGTATGCTAGACAATTGGATGAAACATGACATTTCAATAATTTGGGAAGGTAAAGAATAATTTTCCAAATAAAATATGGAAACTGAAATTGTACTCTTAGTAGAAAAATACAATTCTGTGAGAAGACTAGTAACTTGCCATGAATCTAATTGCAAACTGTGATATTTGACTTTTAATGTACAAAGTAAATTTATWTTGGACTGTATGGTACTGGAAAAGTATGATCATTTCATTTAAATGAATTACTGGTTATATAACAAGAAATGCTAGTTTAATTTTTATTCACATTAACCATTTCAAAAATCAGAGAACAATTTAGATTTAGATATGCTATGATAATCTTCCTCACCTAAATTTCAGGAAGCTTTTCTGCTTTCCTAAGAAGTATAAACTTCAGAATTCTACATTGTTTTTCCTTCTTCCCAGCACGTTTGTTTAAACTGTGTCATTTGAGATAAAGAATAGTCTTTCTTCACTTGGAAATTAACTTTTTTGATATCCAGGCAAATGAAGTTGCCTTGTGTTACGAAATTACTTTCATTGTTGCATTTATTAAGAACTTGAGAAGAAATGGCAGTACCACTGAGAGCGTTGAAACACCTTTGCTTACACCCATGAGACTTCCARTATCACTTGTAAATATGAAACTGCAGACAGATAAAGCATCATCAAGTTTTAATTCTACCAATGTTATACAATACTCATCATTTGGCTTTCCCATGGAAATGGATATTATTTGTTTTGATGCTTTGTGTTATAATAAATCCTTTATGGAGGAGCAATGCTCATGAAGAAGCCAATCTGTCCAGAGGTGTCTGTGTGTGGTTGTAGCTGTAGGAATTGAACAAAAGCTTCAAATTATGAAGCTCATCTAAAGTAATCAGTGGAACTGGAGCACTATTCCAAAGGCTCTTCAGGCAGAACACAAGAGATTGCACAAAGGTTGAACAAGTGCAAAAGCTTGGATTTCTCTTAAAAATAAATTATCTTTCCTGCTTGCTAACTTTTCTTACTTCATGATTTCAGAAACCAGGGAGCATTTCTTTCTCATGTTTTGCCAGAATTTCTGCTTTCACCTGAAGATTATAAAATGTGGATTGAAGTGCAATCTGGAGTGAGGGTAGGTAGGTTTGGGTTTTTTTTTCTCTTTTTGTCAAAGCCCATGAGCTTAGTTTCAGTCCTTTGAAGAGTAATGGAACTTCTTGGTGGACCATGAGTGTTCTCACTGTGATGACTGTTTTGGATTGCATAAATCCAAGCACATGTGTGACACTAAGCAGGAAGGACTTCAAGCTGACTCCACCATTTACATTGGTGTCCCCTGTTTTTTTCCCATTCCTTCTGATATTGTTGATACCTGATATTACTATCCAGCAGATGCATTTTAAAGTAGAGATCAGATGGCCATACAGATTTTACTTTTTAAAAAAAAAAAATTAACATTTTGTGTGTTTTCCCTGTTTTCTGATGCTTCTTTCAACTCCTGTCAATTCTGTATTATGATTCTTATTCCTGAGATAGCAGCAAACTGCCAGTGGTTCTAATGTTGGTCACTATTGAACTGTAACAAATGTTATCAGCCACTTATGCCATTGATACACTATTGTCCTCTTGTGAATTTCATATCCAAATTTCTGAAATGAATATTAAAAAAAATCCCATTCTTTTATCTGTAGTTTTTCATGCCTGAAGTGAAGAGAGGAATTATGAGAAACTCAGGCAGATTAAGTGCTGGGAATATTTTCACTCTGGAGGGCAATGAATTTGAGACAATGAGCAAACGAGCTTGGATGGATGTCCTACTGCAGGTGTACAAGGTAAATTGCAGATACATTTACTAACAAATTCTGAGGAACTGATGGCAGAAAGATTTATTTTAAAAAAGATCTGTGGCATATTGGAGGTTTCTTTTCCAAACAAATCTTTAAAAGTACGTACTTGTATTTTATTTCTCTCTAACAGAGAAGGAAAAAGACACAGTGAGAATATTTTAATTTTCTTTAAAACTTTCCAACTAGGAAATGTTATATTAGAGCARTCTACATTTTGTAGAATTAAATATTATAGAAATATTGCTGCAGGTAAAGACAACTTTGTCATGCTTTTGTGTTACACTGGTTAGAAGCCCCTTTCACTGGATGTAATTGCCTAGATGTATTGATAACCATAGTATTTATTATTTTACATGATAATGGAATTTTTAAACAACCAAGTATATTCTGTAATACCTCTTCCTTATAAAATATGATCAACTTGGTCAGTATAGACTTCTCAAATTCATTTCAGGTATTTGTTCTTCCACGCATTTCTTTCCGTGCTGTTCCTGACCCATCGAGCTTGGAAAGCATGCATAACATGCCAAAAATAAAATCAGAACCTTTATCCAGTAACATATATTCTCGATATGAACGAATCATCCTCATCTGGTTGAATAAAAATTATGAGAAAAATCGAAAAATTGTGTGGAAAGATAGTAAAAAAGGTAAGATAATTCTTTCACTCTGCTCTTTTTTCTAATAATCCTTTTGTAGACTTTTATGATAGTTATTCATATTGTGACAACCTGCCACTGAAAGTATTTTTTTGGATAAGTTGTTGCCTACCCACATGTATTTCTTTYTCTTGTGTTTCTGTGTTCCAAGAACAGCACCTTTTGATTAGCACTGTTCATGATGGATCTTCTGTGTTCTGTTTTTAACTAGGCATAAAGGGTGATGTGAACCTTCTCACTTTCTTCTTTCCATTAGTGTCAGGAAGTGCTAACAGTAATTATTTTATCTTAATTTGATTATTTATAGTCACACACAGTAGTTGCTATTTCTGCTTATAGTGGTGTATTTGAGAGCTAGATTTTCAGAATTTTTAGAATATTTTTGTATGCTCTTTATTCAATGACATTTGGGAAGGCAGTAGAGACTAAGGTTCCAGATTATAAATCTTGTCCTGCTTGCAAGGGCAAGTTGATTCTCATGATTGCTCGAGTCAGGTTAGATAAAATTGCATTTCCCATTTAAGACTGATCTAGGCAGTTCTGGTATTCAAATCTGATAAAACTGTTCAACACTAACAATTATTGCTCCTATTTCCTTGTATGATTTTTTCCTTTCTCTTCTTGACTGTAACTTCATTGCCTTTTTCAGCAGTGATTTTGGATGTGTGGTGTGCATCAAGAAAGGCCAGTCTGGTGATAAGCAGGGATGACCTCCAGAGTGGCTCATAAGCCACGTATGGAAAAAATTCTCTGGCGTCATTTTTGCCTTGAGCGATTTCTGACCTCTCTGAATTATGGATAATCTATTTGCATGTCATCTTCCATAAGTCTCATTTAGGCAGAATCTCTGTCTTGCATATGCTTTGAATGTCCCTTTGCTCTTGTCATTTTACTGTATAGAAGCAAATTATGGTGGATATTCTCAAATGCATTGAATGATTCTGCTGGTAAAATTGAAATGTTAGTCTGTACCCCCTGAATCCAATAGAAATAGATTTCMAGCTGGTTTTGAGTAATTTGGGTCTGATATTATGATTAACTCAGGGAGCTCTCCACCTAAATAACATGCCCTACAGTAGGTATTTGGAATGTATAATCTTTTTTTATCTGTGCCTGCTTTAGTGGAGCTTCCTTATAGTCATGAGTTCTGCTGGGCTTTTCTGAACCTCCTGAATGTATAGATGACAACTTGCAGAGAGAATGGCTCTGTGTGACTCACTGTAAATGCTGCATGGATAAATTCCTCATCCCCTGTCAGTGCTCTGGGTATCAGGCTCCAGTAATACCTGRATGCTGAGGCATGYCTGGCYTTGTTCTGGTCTGTGGGAGCTCATTGGGGAGAATCTGAGTGCCAAAAAAAATCTTATTTAGCATTAAACTTTTAATTGAGTTATAATCTCTAAAGATGACTGAATCTGAATCTTAAAGTGCAGATCTAATGGACACTACTAGAAAAAAACCTACAGATGTCCAAGTGGAATATGTATTAATGTTGCATTTTAAAGAGSCAATTATTGAAAGTGTTATTTTAGTTGCCTAAGAGTATGTAATGAATTTTAATATAAAAAGGATGGGTCTGTTTTTAATAAATCATCATATAGTTGTCAGCAATTGTAAAGTAGGGGTGTTYTACAATTATTTAGTTCTAAAGGCTCCCCAACATTGGCAGCCAAAAATAACAATTCAGTTACAATATTGGTGTTCTCATAAAATAATAATAACTTCTGTTAAATCATGCTTAGAGTACAGACAACTCTCTAGGCTGATATATTCATTAGTGCAGACCTGGCTGTAGCTTTGACTCTGGGTTACAGGTGAAGATGAATTCTATGGTTGCTGCCAGGTGACATTTATCTGCGTTACAGTTCTTGCCTACAAATTCACTTGATTATGCTCTTATGCTTTCAGAGAAGTTCAGGATTGAAATGAGAAGGCAGGGTTTCTATATCCTTCCTGCACATGGGAAGATACAGATACTGCCTTGCTATATCAACTTCTTTATAGTTTTTTTGGTTCATGTGTTCTGTATTCTCTTTTCTGTAGGGCACACAGAGATAACTTGATGTATGCATATCAGCATGCCCTTTTCTTTTGCTTCTGTTTCCATTTTTATCCCAAAACTGCATAAATGAGTATTGGCCAAAGTCTAATAATCAAAAAAAGAGAAAAAATTCTGAAAAATTCTGAAATTCATATAATACTGCTATACCTCCGCACTATTGAAGTTTTTAGTTGTGCAATCTTGCATTGTTTTGTTTCAGAGATCACTTGCCTCAAWATCTCTTTGAATTCTCTGTTTTAGCCTTCACTTTCCTCTTGCTTGTTTTGCTTTTGCTGCCTCAGAATGAATTGGTGTCTGCTATTTTGCTCTTTCTGCCAAATGAGGTAGAGAATCTGATGGCAAAAAACACGGAAAAGCCTAGAAGTACTGAATGCCTTCTTTTTTTTACCTTGGTCTTTACTGGTTAAGAGTGGCCACTGAGCAATTCTAGGCCATCGAGATGAATGGAAAAGTATGGAACAAGGAAAGCAGCCTTGGTGGAGGAGGATCAGATTTGGGAACACTGGGATGAATACAATCCCATGGCATCCAGTGGGGTTCATCAAGTGCTGAGAGATCTGGCCAATGTCATTGCAAGGTCACAATCATTAACCTTGGAAGGGTCAGGATGATCCGGGGGAAAGTTTGGAAAAAATGTTGTTCCCATCTGGAAAGAGAATCCTGGAAGCTAAAAGGCCAGTGACCCTCATCTTATTTCTTGGGATGATGCTGGAGTAAATAATCTTTGCAAACATTACCAAACATACAAAGTACAAGAACATTTTTGTGAGTAGTCCCCATGAATTTACAAAGGCATAATCACGCTGGATCAACCTGATTGCCTTCCATGCTGACATGACCAGGATGTTGTTTATCTCAACTCAGTCAAAGCATTCAACAATCTCCTGTAACATCCTCATCATCAAACTGGTGGAGTACAGGCCAGTTGAGAGGCCACTGAGGTGGTCTGAAATGAGGCTGACTTGCCAGGCTCAAAGGRTTATGATCAGTGGCACAAAGTCTGGCTGGAGTTTGGTCACCAGTGATATCCYTCAGGGGTCATTAGTCTGAATTTTTTTTAAGATCATACACTAGAGAAGAGCTTATATATCTTGACAAATTAAATATTCTGATATAYTATATGTCCTTTAAGTTTTATGGTTTTAAGGTTAATCTTCAAATTTTGACAGATATTTTGACATTTTAAATTAAGCATTTAAGCAGGCTTTTGCAGAGGAAGTTAGAAGTGCCATTAGGAAAAATGTCAGAGTACATTAGGTGTACATGCAACACAGCTGAAAGTCTCAAATATCCTCAGTTTAGTATTTTATTTTTGTATTTAATTTTTATTTTTTTAAATTTTATTTTGGTTATTATTTGCTTAGTAACACTAATTTGAAGAGAAGGATTAAGTTCCTTTTTTTCTTTTCAATTCTTACTACAGTGCTGATCAGAGAGCAATTACCACTTTTTGCTTAACATTTCTGTGCCTGCATATTTCCATCCAAACACTCTCTTTGAATACTTGGCCCTGACTAGCAATATGTATTGACCTGCTGCTTTCAGCTCCAAACAGTCTGTTGGGTGATCAATTCCCTCTGAATAAATGCAGACCTATCCAGGCCACATTTCTCAGTGGTTCTTTTGATACCTAAGCTCCTTAAAGTGAAATGTGACAGTGAGAAGAGCCTAAGCTACTGCAGTACAGAGAGGTTTCAAATATTTATATTTATTGYATCCTTCTAAAATTGAAGGTAACTATGTCATTCATCAGAACTCTTCTCTTGCAAGAATTGAGATCTCARTAGCTTAGAAAAAACATTAGCAAGGTGTTTAGTGTCTCCACATCTTCTCTCCTTACTGCTACTGAAAAATAAATATGTTTTAAAAGCATCTTGGCTTGTGTTTTGGAAGGGCAGGCTTTGTGATATGTCTTACTGACCACAAACTGGAAAGCAGTGTTGAAATTTGAGTCCAGATGCCATAAAATTGTGAAATGGAGATTTGYCTATTATACTGAGACTTTAATTGTGCATGAAATGTAAGATTCAGTGCCAACTTAAGGCATTATATAGTAATGATAACAGAAGAAGCATTAATTATTTGTGCGTAATAAATTTCCAGTTTAYCTTCTAGAGTTCCTTATCTTCATGTTTCTTTTCAACATTTCTCCCTGAAAGACTAACTGCTAATAGTATGAAAACATGAGTCAGGAAAAACCCTTAAAAATTGCTAGAGTATAGAATTATTGTAATTCAAATGCTGTAGTCCCTAAACAGTTGAAAATCTTGCAGATTGGGGAGTTAAATATTCTCTCTTCCTTTTTAATTATGACTCTTATCATGATAAAAAAGATAAATTATATTTTTGGATATAGGGAATTTTCTTCAGTGTATCCTAGGAAGATTTTGAAAAGAATAGGTAATTCTATATTTAATATAAAATGTTTAGTGAATATGACAGGCAGTAAATATGAGCAGTATCTGAACAGTCAGTCTATATCTGAGCTGCAAGAGCTGTCCCTAGAGTAGATGCATCTTCACTTTACTGGAAAATCTGCTGAAGAGGGAAGAGAAATTCCAATCCAGTGCCAATGTAGGTGTGGCAATGTAGGTTRGGCAGAGTGGCCTCTCTCAAAATTCTTACTTTCAACTGGGAAAGTTTTGGGTTTTTTTTGCATTTTATTCATGTCAATGTTAGTGAGCTTGGGGCTTTTGTAGTTTTTAATTTTTATATTTTYTGATTTTGATTCAGCATGGCATCAGAGTTAAAATGTTGAGGGAGGAGGTATTTTAGTGTGTGATTGCATATCTTCACAAAATTGTATGAGAATTAAATAGAATTCTTTTTTTTTTAGACAGGTTCTGTAGAACTTTTATTTAAGATTGTTTCTGGCATAGCAATTAAGAAGTACATTCTTTTTCATTCCTGAAAAGGAATGAATTTGTTT